GTGGGCGGATTCCGGGAACCCAAGAGGCAAGAAAATTTTGGGAATGATGAGGGCAACAAATGTGTGGATGTGCTTTACACAATTGATCTATGTATTGTGACGAATTGTATGAGCCCCAATAAATTGATTGAAAAAATAAATAAATAAAATGTAAATTTGGGTTCAATAAAAAAAAAAAAAGAAGTCAGAATTGACTCGATGGCAGTGATTTTGTGTTTTGAGTACCATACTAAGAAGATCCTCACAAATGGAACAATAAATAATAATCATGATAAATGAAGATATTGAAATTGTCAAGGATTTCGTTATAATTTGATCCACAATCAGCACCCAAAGAAGCAATTGTAAAGAAACCAACTAGTGTAGACCATGAAACAAGTCTGCTGCAGAAAGGAAAGATATTATTTCGAGAACTAGGGTTTGCCTACCAAAGCCATGGTCTTTTCTGTCACTTCATGTGCATGTGAAAACTGGGCAATAAATAAGAAAGACCAAAGGAGAATTGATACATTTGACTCACCATGCCGGGAAAGAATACTGACTCCACTATGGCCTTCAAGAAGAATAAGCCAAGCTATCTTGGAAGAAGTACAGCTAATATGTTTCTTAGAATTGGAAATGATGAGTCTTTTTCTCTTGCACTTTGGACATGTTAAAGGGAAGAACCAGTCCTTGAAGCAGGGTATCATGCTTGGTGAAGTAGAGGGTGAGGCAGAAAACAAAGATTCCTAATGCAACGGATTAACACGGCAGCTGCAACGAGTTGACACATAGCAATGATTGCCAGGATGGTGCAGCTGCACTCTGTTTTGATGAAGTCTATGCTTGTGCACATCTTGTTTTTAATCAGTCCCAGTCATCTACTTTGTAATCTGTGCTTCCTTCATTATATTTGATAGACATCTATGTCCTGTAGTAGGGCCCCTACGTTTTCCCCAATTTTTCATTCATGATCTTTTTAGCTCTGGTGTTTAAAGTTAGATCTTTGATCCATCTTGAGTTTGTTCTTGTACGTGGCGTGAGTTATAGATCCTTTTACAATTATTTGTAGATAGAAATCCAATTTTGCAGCACCATTTGCTGAAGAGGGTGTCCCTTTCCCATTTAATGTTTTTGGCCCTTTGTCTAGAATCAGTTGTCTGCAGGTGTCTGACTTTGTCTCTGGGGTCTCTAGTCTGGCCATTGGTCTAGTGTGCCATTTATTACACCATGACAAGGCTGTCTTCACTCCTGTGTCTGTGCTGTAGTGTCGCATAGTGAGAAGCCTCCTATTTAGCTCTTCTTTTTTGAGAGGTCCTTTTTCTTATCATGTATATCTTCCCTCTCTATATAAAGCCAGTGATTGTTTTTTCTATTTCTTTAAATTGACATGAGAATTGCATTATGTGTATAGATTACATTGGGTAGTATTGATATGTTCACAATGTCAGCCCTTCCTATCCATGCACATGGGATCATCTTCCACTTTTGGAGGTCTCCTGTTGGTTTGTTATAGTAGTGTTCTGTAGTTTTCTTTGTACAAGTTTTCTGTTTGTCTGGTTAGATTAAGTACTAAGTTTTTCACCTTTGGTGCAACTATTATAAATGGTATTTTCCCCCTCATTTCTTTTTCAGAGCTCTCTTTTAGTATAAAAACTCAAACTCACTGCCGTCGAGTCAATTCCAACCAATAGTAACCCGAGAAACAGACCAGCACCACCGCTGTGGGTTTCTGAGACTAAATCTGTACCGGAGTATGAAGCCTCACCTTTGTCCTGCAGAGAGGCTATTGGTTTTGAATCGCTGACCTTGGAGCCTAAGGGAGAACACCGCATGGGTTCAATTTTTGTGTATTAACTTTGTATCCTATCATCTTGCCCAGTCTTTCGATTGTTCTCAACAAATTTTTGATCAGGTTTTTGGGGTTTTCTATGTATAAAATTATATCCTCTCCAGGGATAATTTCCATTCCTCTTTGCCCCTTTGGGTTCCTTTGATTTCTTTCTGCTGCCGAACGACTCTTGCTAAGACTTCTGGCCAGCACAATGTTGAATAAGAGTGGTAAAATGGGGCATCCTTACCTGGCTCCCTCTCTCAGTGAGGATACATCCAGTTTGTCCCCAATGAGCAAGGTGCCAGTCATATGTTTTTCATACATGGGCTTTATTGTGTTGAGAAATGTTCCTTCTATTGTTATTGTGTTTAGTGTTTTCTCAGGAAAGGGTGTTGGTCTGGTGGTTTGTTTCTGAAAGGTCACATAAATGCACATGGGGCAGTTCTACTCTGTAAGTTTCCATCATTCAAAATTGACATGAGGGCAACCAAGAATACATGGGTATGCATTCATTCAGAAATCATTCATCACTTACAGGCACTGCACTAAATCATACGATTATAGATGTGAGTCAAAACGGACACAGACAACCTAGTGTGGAATTTAGAATCTAGAAAGGGAGTGACGCATCAATCCATAATCAAAAATGTAAAATTGATCACTATGGCAAGGACCATAAGTAAGAGACACAGTAATAGTGAATCAACCTACTGAGGCAGTTTAAGGGCTACTTCCTTGAGGAAACGAGGCTTGAGCTGAGCTCTGAAAGATGAACGGGGTATAAGAGGATGAGTGAGTGGTTCAGACAGAGTGAATAGCAAGTGCAAAGGCTCTGTAGTAAAAGGGCAGTGGTGATCAAGAAGAAGTGGCAGAGGGTCCGTTTAGCTAAATAGAAAACATTTTACCAGAGAAAGTAAGTTAATATGGACAATAGGAAACAGATCCTTTTAGCCCATTAGAGACATTTTCTCATTTATATAAATAACTGCAAAAATCCATTAAGAGGTTTGAAGTGGATTATTCAGGGGGGTGGAGTCACACCTCTCAT